TTGAGAATGCGTTGTGTCCTTAGGACGTACTGAGAAATAGGAAATTTTGGTATTAATATGCATCCTTTCTACTAGAAACTTGATTGCAAAACTTCCTTCATTAACAATCTATCTTTCGTAGCAATAAAGCTTCCTTAGGATTGAAATTTCATTACAACTTCCAACAGAATCCGGTGTGAAGTCCAAACGGCGAACTAATTACACCGAAAGAAAAACGTTTTCTTTCCGTTAATAGAACACATTATGGGGGTTTCGTCACAAAACAAGCTTAGTATTGGAATCTGAATATCACAGCTATTTCAGCTATTGATTACACAAAAATATAAACAATTGGGGAGAAGAAATGTCCAGTAATAGTTGGGAATTAAAAAAGTTGCTTTTAGCAAGGACGTGTTTATTCCATGGAAATGGAATTTTCTGGCACGAGATCGCCCTTTTTACTAAGAATACCTTTATAAAAGTTTCCTTAGTGGTTTTTTATCGTTGTAGCGATAAATTTCCTTTCACACATATGCTTATGAGCACCAATAAATCCTAGGCGAAGTTTTTAGTGATGCGCTAACCACTCCTAATGTGGAACGTAATCTTTTTTACTCTTACGAAACTCTATGAGGACCTTTTTGAAAATCAGTTTAGCTACAGTATTGATTTGAGCTATCGAATTGCCATAATTTGATCGAAAAGGCATTCAAAATCTCCAGCCGAGTAAACAAAGCATATCGAGTGTGAAACATAATTTTATTTATGTTGCTAACAACGCAACAAGTATGGTTTTCTTGTTAGAATCACAATAATGGAATTGCCAAGATTTATGCTTTCTAACAAAAGTCTGCTCGAAGAAGGTATACTAGCACAGGTACACTCCGAATTGATCGAGTTAATAATTTGTCAGGAACGTTTGTAATTATTTGCTTAAATTACTTCTACTTCAAATCACTGTTTGTAAAATAATCCATATATTTCTGGCCATATGCTACATCGTCGGCTTAGCATATTTTACTTTTTTAGTCCATTTTGGACCGATTTTCCTCCAAAAGTACAAAAAATTGGCAAGATTTTCTACGCTAACAAAGTGTTTTCAGTGATTTCTGACCATAAAAGGACGGAGCGTACTGAGAAAAACCAATTTTCTCAATAACCTTACAAAAATTCAACAAGTTACTCAGTCCTTATAAAGTGTTTTTCATTATGTTAAAATAATGCTGTCATTGTGCTATGGGTTTTCAATGTTTAACGCCCCGGAATTCCACCTTCAGAATCTTTGCAAGGACTTACTGTTGTGTGGCTGTATTCTGTGGAGATGAACAGTTATTTCAAAATCGCAGTTACGATTCATATACAGAAATCGAAACAGCAAAGCTATTGGAATTTTAGATAAATTAAAAGAATACTTATTTGCATCAAAAGGAGCAGGGAAACACTGTAAAGTATGACTCAGCGCTTCAATTTTGACTCTTTCTCCGAGTAAGATAGATCTATAATTTTCTGTAAACAAGGAACAATATACCGTCAGTATCGCTCCTCGGAGAACAAGGACAGTGAGTGTTCTTTAACCCATACCTTCCCATATAACCACATTGTGGAGGGCTTCCTTTCATTGGAGCGTGTCCATAAAACGAGATAATCATGTGCACCGAAATCAGTACTCTTTGGTAATCAGTAATAAGTTAAGGCGCAGCGAACTAGTTTTTTGAGATAATCGTTCTGTTGCTCGATTCCTTGTCTTCACTGAAAAAATTGGCCGAAGAAGGAAATCTTGAAGGAAAAATCTAAGTCAATTTTATTAACTGTACCAGAATCAGTACACATTATTATGAACGGTTTAAACGCTGTAAATAGTATAGGGTCAATATGGAGTAATATGAATAGCCAGGTTCCTATGCGCGCATTGACTTTTCATTAGGAGTATAAGAGGGTTGGAGAGTATGGCTATGAACCATTTCCCTTTCCAGACTCTGAAGAAGGAAAAAATGCTGAACCGCTATTCATTGGCAGCCTTATATCGACCTCAGCACTGTATCCATTCGTTTCGCTGTGGCGCAAGTGCCACATGTAGAGGTGGTCGAAAACGGGTGTGGATCCGATCGCTGCTCTAAGGACCATGCAGACCTGTCCTCACCGAAATACTGAGTAATCGACGAGTGTGCTTCCTCTTGAATGTCGTGTTCAAAAAAGCAGCTAACCGTGCTAGATGTTCGCATTCCATCAAACGTGGTAGAATACATTTTCAGGTAGCTTGAAAGTTTGCTGCTGGGCACTTGGATTTTTTCAGAAAAGCAACGAATTCTTGATGACAGCGAACCTTGCAACTAAACTACTGAGTGCTCGAGGATGAACAAGTAGAGAACAGAATTGATTTTTCATGATATCATTATTCAAGTTTGAAGCCTTACACCTCACTATAAAAGAATTATCTACTTCTCAGCCTTATGAAGTACTTAATATTATTAAGTATGCTTTGTTCTCATCCGCAACCATTTGGTCACAAAATGCGACGGAGTAATCTTTGATTACCTTGAGTATTTCTCGATTTCTATAAATCAAAGACAAGGAATAGAGTGGTGCGCAGAAAATCAGCTAGCTGTGGCTGTCAGAAATAGCTATCAGCATAATTGGGTTTGATGCCGAAATTTGCATACCCGAGCGAGCCCGTTAGAGGCAGGTTGCTAGCAGCTACAGTAGGACATATCGAAAAAAGAGTGATATCAAAGCGGTAATCGGTGGTGTGGTGCTAGAATGCATCCCCCGCTGTAGGTTGAATAGGATGCCGGTGGAACTCTTTCCTGAACGCTAACTTTTGCGTACCTCTATGCTCTTGGATGATCTTTTTAACACCATAACAGTGCTCAAAAGAGCAGTAAAATTAGTGAGCTCAAATATCTAGTGTTGAAGCATGGTTTTGATCTAACTAGTTCTGCTTTTACTTTTTTGCACTTGTGATCACAAAGTTGCGAGAAATATTGGAGTATAACATCAAGTGCGCCTAGAGCAAACCAAATCATTGTTGGTTTCTAATCGTCGGCTTTTGAGATGTTTGCTTGAGCAACTTCAGAACGTCATTTCGTAGTCAGTCGTTACCCTTATAGTAACTTTGTTTGAATCCAAAGAGTTTTTTTCCCCAGTGTTCTCAGTGTGTTTGAATCTACTGTTGCAGCAAATCAACACTCTAAGCACCATTTTCATGTACATGCGGAATATTTCAACGCAGCGCGTTATCGCCTATTCTTTTCGGACTCTCCCCGTCATGTTCGACGCTCTGTTCGACCCTATTGCGTACCATTCTTTCTATGGCTGCTCTTAGCTCTAAGAACCAAAAAGAACCGTGCTTTTCTTCTAGAGTCTTTGTGAAGGTTTCTGAATTCTAGACGTTGGTAGTCTACTAGTTGCTGTGAACTCAGCATCTTTTGAACTCACTAGCTTATCTCTCTTATCAACACTTCTCTCTGAGAGGCATCCTTTCTTCTTATTGTCTACTACATCACATGATCAAAATTTTTTATATGTTAGTATTATTTACCGATCGTTCCAGCATTGATTTCGCTTTGCTAATACTTGATAATACAAAAAACAAGGCAAAGTGTTGTTTCTGTTAAGCAGTCGTGTTTCATCATCGTATTACGACCCATTTCTGTTTTGGGCAACGTTCTTGAAAGTGCCGCCAAGTAGTTTTTGCGAAGTGGTATTATTTCTTAGAACGCTCCTTTTCCACTGGTGATTATTGCATAGCGATGAAATTCTGGTGTGATGCAGCTGACTTATCATAGTTTTGTGTAGTGAAAGAGATGCCCTGATTGACCGCATGCTCAATGTCCATTCTTGTTTCCGCTCAGCTGAGACCATTTCTAAGCAGATAAAAGTGAGACGAAATAGGCTGATTTTTGTGCTTCATTGGGATTCTCCACCGTGTGATTAGATCTATTATTTTTTATCGCTTGGCTTGTCCACATAACTTTTCTTCATTCGATCTTTTGCCAAGGTTTGAAAGAGGCTCACGCAGTTCTTGAAGAGGGAACTACAGACTAATAACACGTCAATTGCTGATGTTAAATGAGATCTCCCTTTTCTTTTGTATTAACACGATCCTCCTCGTTCTCCACTGGTTAAGAGTTTTCTATTATAAGCTTGGATAAGCAGTAACAATGGCTCGATGTGAACTGATTACTGGCTCTTGGAAATCTCAGGTTTGATTCTCTCTGGTTTTGTTGGCTGTACTAGATGAATCTTCACAGGTGTGGTAGCATGGCCGCTTCAACGCAATAAACTGAGATCTCGTCGTTCTAACATGTATTGGAACGTGGGTAACAGAGAGTTCAAATCCCCTCAGGTTGTTAGCTGCTCAAAATGCTAATGATATTAATTGCGTTTTGAAGTAATGCTGCCGGAACACTACCTTCCTAAATTCTCCATTGCCGCATGTCACAACATGTACTCACTATACTTTCAGATTGCATTAGTGTTCTCCTACATGATAATATGGAAGTTTAGTTCATGCCATATCTATGCGATTAGCTTCTGAGAATGGGCTAATGAAAGGAAGTATAGTAATGGTAGCAATGGTGATAACAGCGCTAACAAGTAGTGTCATTAACGATGATATAATTGCTGACACTTTCTTTGTCAGCAGTGAGATTCATTTCGAATCCATTTTTTCTGACCGCCTGCTGCGGTGGTATGATTGTTGTAATAAGCCCTATAGCGTAGAGTGGTGTGCAAAAACATTTGCGTCAATTGGTTTCGAATCCACACTTAGAAAATCTGTTGGCTTTGTCACAATAAATGTGATCTTTTTCGCACAGCACTCTAGATTATTGTATTTATTATAGCATCATACCACCGCAATAGGCGTTCAAATATAATGAATTCTGATTGATTATTCAAACTCAATATCTGTCAGCATCAGAGGATTCAGTGTCGAAAGCGACCACCCATGCCAGACCGTAGACGGATGGCTGTTGACAGATAACGCGTTGTAGAGTAGAAAAGAGTAGTGTAAAAAACGAGCGTCGGTAGTGCAACGGTTCAGCACGCGCTCCCGGAAAGAGTGAAGTCTGGGTTTGAGTCTCAGATGACGCAAATGCTTTGCACACCACTCTGCATTATTACATTCATTTTGTTTCACATCTGCTTTGATTGGTTAAACGTAGCTTAAGGTCTTAATAAAGTATATGGATGCTGTTGAATTAACATTTAGAAGGGATTTATATGACTTCAGGCAGATCCAGCTTTATTCTGGATTGTATAATTAGTTCACTGGTAAAATTCATTATTTCCATTGTTATGCTCAGTTCACTGACGCGCAAAATACTATTTGCTTACCAGCGACGAAATGCGATTCCTAGTATTAGTCTGATGCTCCACAGTTTTCTTCACACGCTCATGTAATTTTTGCGCATATATAACACTTATGTTCAAGGAAAACTCTGAATATGAAACGTGATCTTGTTTTTCTTCTTGCAACGCCGTATAAGGACATTCAAAAAGCAAATTTAGTTTCAGAATTTCTGAGATCTGTACTGTTGTATGGGTGTAAGTCTAATCTAATGAAAAGCTATCCTCAGACCCTAGCTGGTCGAGCAAAGCACTCCGAATGATGCTTCTAGTTTCGCTGTGCACTGTATTCAGAACACCTTTCTAGAGTAAATCAAGTACAGTATGGATTTTAAACTTTTGCATGATCTCTGAAATATTCGGAAAAAAGCTTTGTTCAGCAAAAAAAAAGATCTGTGAAAGTTGAGCTTCAAAAACGACCCTTAACCGTCCAAATTTGCAAGATTCTCACTAATGGCTTGCTTTTTTTCAACATTTATAGAAATCCACAAAGTATTAATTTTTTTCATATTCTATGAGAATTTTGTTCCTAATTCATTGCATCCACAATAGAAAGACTCTGTAGTGTTCTTTATCGGTTAACGTTCAAATAATTCAATTCTGATGAGGATGAGAAGATGGTTTGTTAAGGAATACTCCAGAATCTTCTCATGAAAACCCTATGCCACGATCACCAACATGTTATTCTTTATGAATGAAGTTCTTAGAAAGCATTATTAATAGTCACTGTCCCTTTTTGTAATGACAGCGTGAAGTAGAGGTAACCTGCAATGTACATGGTTCTTTCGTTGGCTCCTCGCCACAGGCTAACGGGGTCTCCATCTTTGTCGAGTTGAATAGTTGGTACGAGGGCTTGTTCTCGATCATACAGAACTTGCCTCTTACATCTATGGGTCACCGCTATCCACTCTGTAGATCAAATAATCAACCAGTCACCTTTAAATGGTACGAATGGACTTGAATGATTCGTGCACTTCTAGATGATCTTCTGGAGAGCAATTTCAAACAGTGCGAATCCTCAGTTTCATATATTATTGATTTATCATCCGATACGGTTCTACGAATTACCACATGCTTTCGTTAGGAGGAAAAACGAAAGAATGAATTGTCTTGTGGGTCCGAAGAGCGATGAATGATGTGCAAAACGATGATTTATTTATTCTCTCATTACGCAATGTGAAATTCGTAGGTACGGGGGACACAGTGGTTATCAAAAAAAAAGGATAAAAGATAAAGTTTTTGGCGTTAATCAATTCCTGAGGAATATGTCATGCATTCGTCTTCATTTTTTCATCCTTGTTTGAGGTGATCGAATGTATAGCTGGCCTTTATAATGGCTCGCACTGGCCTCCCGCTGTACCGATTCACTTCTGCTTATCCTCCCAACAAGTCTGCGACCAGTCCGCTACCAATTTACCGACCCCGAAGAGCTTGTATGGCTTCGTGAGCCATGAGCGCGAGAATCGAACCTTCGACTTTGTGTACGATGCAGAATGCCTCCAACCATTGCGCAGTGGTAATCAGGTGCCGCTGGCTAGATGCTCTTGCTGTAACGTTACACAGGAAAACTGCGCCTCTCGTTTCTTTAGGATAAGCGAGCTGGTTCCATACCTGTTTAAAAGAAGGTCTTGTCCACAAAGAATAATGCCTATGGCGGAGAACTGAGAAGGCCACAGTAGGGGTATTCCATGAGAGCGACATCCACATGTAATGAAGCCCATGCGAATAAGTAAAGCTCTTTATCTTTTCTTTAAATGATCCCTCTCACGGTGTGTTTTTTCCACTGTGCAAATCCCAGTAATTTTTACATTTATTTCTTTGCAATCGCGAGGATAGCCTGGCTGTGGCGTTCCACCGTCCGTTTGTTGTTGGCTGCCGGAGAGTTTTGGGAGGCGAGGATCTGCTCTCCGACAAGACAGGCATCACGATCACTCGGCCACCCCCCCCCACGTAAACAAATTTATAGAGGTAATTCTGAAAGTCATAAAAAATGTGGATGATTGAACGATGAGATGAGCAAATCATCGCGGCAAAGATGCCATTTGTTGGATGCGCCTCGAACGAAAAAAAAAGCGTTACACTTAACATGCTGATGTGATCCTCCTATTTAAAAAAAAGAGCTTCTCGGCAATTGCCATTCTCATTGATCGACACTATAAACCCGACACTTCATTAGCTTCTTCTCAACCTCATTCTTCCAGCATCACTAACATCCCTCTGCATTGCCCATCATCTATGTCAGTTCGTCTAATCTAGCAACATTTATTTCTTAGGAATGAAGGGCAACAATCCTCGTAGCTTATGATGTGCCTCATTATATCACTTTATTTACCTATGTTTCAGTAAATAATAGAATCAGAAAAGTAACGTAAACACCATCCGATGTCATTACGTTCATCTATTTGCAGTGAGTGTGGAATAATCGTATTTTCACCTCATGGTGGGATGCCTTATCCTCGCCCCCCAATTTTCCTGTTTCGTTTCGTCTATGTTTATGAACATTGCCACCCATCTGACAGTTGGCAGTTGTATGTTGAACACATTCTCCCATAGGATACTGTAGCTTTTCGCAGCTATTAGTAGTATTATATCAAAGTTGATTAGCAATCAGTATAGACTGATGTAAAAGACTTTTATGTGCAACTAATTTATCACTTCAACACCTTGCTTCACTCTCATCACAGTTTTTTTTTTACTCTGTAGGTCCCACTAATTCTAAAATTCGATTCTTTTCTCGCTTTCCTAGGATTTGTCATCCTCACGCACGTCGGATAACACTGGTCGATCTACTACGGTTATGGCTAAAATGATTTATATGGTGAAATAATCATCACATTGTCTAAGTTCGCTTCTCTTTACACCATCAACACGTTATAACTATCATCTTATCATTTTACTCATCGCCATTGTCGCACTTCCACAATTCAGCTCAGACCATTGAGTGCTGATTATGTAAACTTTATAGTGCCCTACATACCTTCATCACATCAGTTCTTTCGTCCAGTTACGCACCTCTCTTTCTTACAACGTTTTCTTCTCTCCTATTAAGGAGTTGAAAATGTGTTACGCTCGATTTTTTCGTACTGCTCGTAAATTTGATGGGGTCACTCCAGAATGCATTGTCTTTCGCCGAAAAGATGCCGTCCATCAAATCCACGTCTTGTGCGTGGTCAAATAGTTTATAAGTCAAAGCGGTGAGTTTTCATTGCGATTGTTATACCTTATTTATAACTTTTTTTAAGTTTTGTAATAATGAACGCGAATGACAATAATGGTGTTCACCATAATATATTGGAAGACTGACAGCAAAACAAGAACTTGGGATTTGTTGACGAAATAGGGGAGTTTGTCTCAAATAGATGCTGACTATTTTTCTGCACGGCTAAGTAAGCGATAATAAGAAATACTTTTGATAAAGATATAACACGTTTTTAGCCGATAAGTCTAGTACTATATAGGCGCCTGTTATGTTCTATTGGGACTCATCACTAGCACCCTCACTCGGTTCAGCCTATCCCCTGAGGCTAAATAATCCTCTAAAGGAATTGACACCGAGTAAAAAATAATCACCCAAAGTCGGATGATGTATGTCGGATGATTGTTTTTTACTCAGCGTCGATTCCTTTAGAGGATTATTTAGCCTCAAGGGATCGACGGAACCGAAGGAGGGTCCTACTGATGAGTCCCAATAGGACGAAACAAGCGCCTGTATAGCACCAGACCCAACGGCTGAAAATATTGTATCCTTATCAAATTATATCATTTTGAGCGAGTCTGCAAAAAAGCGGTCGAAAGGAGAAATGATTTTGTTGTTTTGAATCAACACTAATTTTTGACTGTGTGCTACGCATACTTCATTTTGCTTTCAATGTCATAGACAACTCCTAGGTGTTGGTAATACGAACGATTTACCGTCGCTACATAACCGCTAAGTTAGACGATTAATATGCAGCGATGGCCACATCATTTTTTGCATATATCTTTCGAGCGTTCATTCGTTCCCAAATCACACTGAGCTTAACTTTTCACTTAGTTTTTTTTAAACCAAACTATTTTCCTCAGATCGAGAGCAGACGGTCTTTATGAGATATGTGCAGTTCACAAATCACTCACTAATGTTTGATAATTCTCTGTTAGTTCTGTTGTATCTACTGACTCATTCTATTCATTTTTTTTGTACATATGTGTATAAGGATTTACACTATGCTGAGAGCTTTACTGCTCGTTAAATTGCCCTCTAGCAGTCAGCCACTAAACTTTGCCATTAAAGAATATTTTGTGCTTTTTCCTCTCCTTCCGTATGTCATCTTCTTTTCTTTTTGTCTAGAATAAGTTGCCATCTGACATCATGAACTTGGGCAGGCGAACTTCATAGGACACAATAATGATGTGGACACCACGACCATTACTATTGTATGATATGTAGCTGATTCAGAAAGGTTTATTTCATTTCTCCATGCAAATGTTATTTGTTTGACAAATTCAGGAACCTTGCTAAGCGCGTAAGAGTCTTGCATCGCACTTCGACCCACGAATACTGGTTCAAACTCGATCAGAAGGAGAGATGCTGGAATTTGACTGATTAATTCCTTTAACTCAAATTTTCTCATGGAACCTATTTCATGAGTTGATCCCAAATACACATATGTCCCACGTGGTACTTCGGACGACATAGTTATAAGGTTCTTGTAATAATTACTTAATAATCAGTATTTTACTAGTCACACTTTTTTCAATTTATTTTG